AACGCAATACCAAGTAACTACGTTAAGTTACTTCGATAACACGAGAAACATTCCAATGCAATAAAACGAACACCCATCGAAATATTAGAAAACAAAACTTACAAGAATATCTAACAATGCTAATAATAAGAAGACATATGTAACAACTCAAGCCCACCGCTAGTAGATATTGTCTTCAGCCTCGCAGTTTTAAAACACGTTTATTAGGGAGAGGTTTCCACACTCTTATAAGAAGTGTTTTGTTCCCCTCTCCAACCGATGTGGGATCTCACAATCCACTCCCCTTGAGGGCCCAGCGCCTTCGCTGGCACACCACCTGGTGTCTGGCTTTGATACCATTTGTAGTAGCCCAAACCCACCGCTAGCAGATATTGTCTTCTTTAGACTTTTTCTTTTGGGTTTTCCTTCAAAACTTTTAAAACGCGTCTACTAGATAGAGGTTTCTACACTCTTATAAGAAATTGTTCGTTCTTCTCTCCAACCAATGTGAGATCTCACGGTATGAACTAATCATTTTAGGCATTGAAGTGCATACACTTTCAAGTGAAGCATAAATTTGAAGGTGAAATGGATAAGTGAATAATACCTGAATCTCACTCTCTTGAGCCCCTTGTGTCCACCTGGTAGACTTGTAAATGTAATATATACACCAGGTTCATACTGTTTTATCCATTCATCTTTCAAACAATTTGCAGTTCCATTTTTCGAAGATGTCCGGTCAGTGTTTGGATCTGGATCCGTCGACTTAGTAACGTGTCGGAATGCGTGTCTCCCGTACAACGATTTGAATGTATTGGAGAAGACAATGGGAGAGTTGTATAAACTATCACCTATTAGTCTGTCTTTGGGCAGTTGAACCTCAGGGGGTAAACAAATTGCAGCAGAGGGGGAGTGAACTGGTGTAACATGTGGTTTATTTGCATCAACTTCATCTTTTGCATCTCGTCGACTGACAATGTTCTCCGACATTGTCTGAAGCTGTAACAACAGTAGCAGTTCTTCTTCGATCAGTCATCAGCTCGAAAACGAGTGGTTATAGCAAGAACCGTGTTTGAAAGTTGATAAAGGAAGAAATGTAAGAGATTACCCTTAGTGCCAAAGCTTTTATGACCTCCTTTGCTGCCTTGCATTTGGCTGCTTCCTCCCTTGCAACAGACCAAGCTTCTTCTATCTTTTGTCCACATTTCTGCATCTTCTCGTCTCTATCGTGACATTGGAGTTCGAGGCTCTTCACCTTAAAAGGATGTAACGATTTGGTTATAAACTCGTCCATTCATTGACAGAATTGAAACACAATCCAGCAGAAACAAATTGTATCATTGGGCATAAGTTTTAACTCCAAAAGGAAGTTTGAAGAGATCTTAAGTTGTTACCGCTCGAGCCGACTGCTAGCAGATATTGTCCTCTTTGGGCTTTCCCTTTTGGGCTTCCCTTCAAGGTTTTTAAAACACGTCTGCTAGGGAGAGGTTTCCACGCCCTTATAAAGAATGTTTTGTTCTCCTTCGCAACCGATGTGGGATCTCACAATCTGTATGGAAACCTCTCTCTAGCAGATGCATTTTAAAAACCTTGAGGGAAAGCCCAAAGAAGACAATATCTGCTAACGGTGAGCTTGAGACGTTACATATAATAGCTGCAATACACACATACAGGCCAAGGACATAATTACAGCAACATTGTAAGATGGGAAGTGTAAGAATACCTCAGCTCTTAGCCTCTGAACTTCTTCACTTAGTTTCTCACTGGATCCATACACAAATCTCTCGATACCGATGGCACCCGAATTAGGCGATTTCAGGTGAACTAAAGCATTAACAGATGTTTGATTTTGAGATGGAGGAGGAATAAGAGTTTTCATGTTCTCTATACTGCACGTTTTAAATGAAGCTGGACACGAAACTTGCCCCCAGCTCGGTATTCCACTGGTCGAAAAAGAAAGTTGTTCGAAATGCTCTCGGTTTTCGCCATGGTTTATGAATTTCCAATGAGACTGCATTTCATCAATGTTTTGTTTTGTAGGTGACAGCAGCTGACCATGCTTAGAACTCATACTTTTCTTGTCTACTCTTTCGAAAGCAGATGCTTTCTGTTGCACCAATGAATTCTTCGTCCTATGTCGTTGTAAATTGTTGAAGCATGGATCACAAACTCGAAAAGCTTTGGTTCGACTGGGAGCCAAAGCAGCGTTCATAGTCTTCTTACTGCTACACATTCTGCAGAAAGAGAGACCACAGTGATAGCAATTATGCTTCTTTCTTGTAAACCCAAAAGGCAATTTACATCCATAACAAGCAGATTGGTCACTTGAAGTGATAGATCTATGCAAACAGATAGCCGCTGTGACATTTGATCCACAGGCTATACTTTCTACCTGCTGCTCTCCTAGAGCTTCAACAAAAGTAGGCAAATTTCTATCATCCGAATCGCCCAAACCTAATTGTCCGTATGCGCCCTTCCCCCACGTGTAAACACGTCCGCTTGACGTTAGTGCAGCGACATGATAGGAACCAGAAGCTATGGCACTAACAAACTCTTCTTTGAGCTCTCCTTCAACTAAAGCTACTGATGCATCCCTTGACCTTGGATTTCCTAGTTGCCCATGTATGGAGCTTCCCATTGTGTAAACTCTACCAAGATTCGTGAGCCCAACGGTCAACATTCGTCCACAAGAAACTTGAACAAAGTTAGAATCAACGAGTGGGGCGACACACGTTGGTAAGAGCTTACGCTCATTGTCAGCATGGCCTAGCCTCCCTTTATCACCATCACCCCATGTAAATAGTTTCCCAACCGAATTCTCGAACTTGAAACGGTCAATCATGATATCAACAATAGCAGCTGTATGCCATGATCCACATGCCACAGATTTTACCCACAAACCATTTAAAGATTCGACCTCTTTTGGCTGGGACAAGCTTATGAGATTCCCATGTCCAAGAGCTCCAAATGTTCCATCACCATACGTAAATAACCGCCCGCACGCTGAAACAACTGCAGTATGCCATTCTCCACAAGCGAGATTCGATATGGTTATGCCATTCAAAGGACCAGAAAGTTGTTGTGGCAGCCATGGACTTCTTACCTTCTGCTCACATTCAAAATCAGCACCAAACCTACTGTCACCCCATGTATAAACTTCTCCACCATTTGTCAAAGCACATGTCTGATACTCACCACATGCAACAGATTTAGCTGAGATCCCATTAAGCGAGTCGACTAGTTTCGGTTGGTCTAAGTCCATATTAATCTTATGCCCAAGTCTACCGCCCTTCCCTTCACCCCAACAGAAGACTTCACCGTGTTTCGTAATCACGGCTGCGTGTTTTCCTCCTAACGATATTCTTTGCACGTCCAACATCATAGTAGACTCTAAAAGTTTTGGTAACAATGCATCTACAAGCATTCCTTTCTGGCTAGCAGACCTTTCAATTCCACCACCTATCAGCCCACCTTCTATACCTTCTCCCCAGATCATGACATCCTTCAGACTATTGTTCTTTTCGATACGTGGAGATGTATGAACAGGTACGACAAGTCTACTGAGCACATTCTTTCCATGAACCACTTCGTCCAATGATCCCCTCTTAAGTGCATCAGGTTCAATAAGCGGAGTAACTCGAGCAGAGATATCGCCTTCACTCTGTCCATCCGACGGATAGAAGCTATCAAAGGAATGAGATAAGCCATGAGATAGGCATCGTTCCGAAAGCGAAAGAGTAGGACTGCCACACAAGCTGCGTACCTTCAAGCATAGTACATTTTAGTTGAAGCGCACCACAGAAAACAATACATAAACTCTTAAAATGAGTACTCAAACATCTCATGAAAAAGTTACATATTGATTATAGTAAGGAACTATAGGACATGGGTAACTAAAACCTGTGGGAAGTCTGTACTGTCCTCCAGAAGTCCAAGATTGTACTTTCTTCTAACAAAACCAGCAGGACTATTGGCACAAGATACAATTCCTCTATGATCCCTTAAACTAGCTAATGGCCTTGGATGGTAATTCCTTGATATTGTAGATTTCAACCCCAAAATCCAACAATCTGCTTGTGCTTTGTCCTTACATGTCTGCACAAAAGATGACAAAAGAAATCTATCAATGCCATCTTTACCAGCTAAAATCTCAAACAACAAAGCCTATAATAGCAACGAACAAGCTTTACCAGATCAAGTGAACGCTCGCCGTTAGCGTAAATTAGCGAAAAGGATTCGGGCTTCTTTGTGGGTTGAAGTTGGTTTACAACACTTGGCTGATTCAATAGCATTCATTTGAATGTAAGGAGCAAAGGGTTGCAAATGCAGATGTTAAGAGGCATTGGTGTTTTTATACTTACTGACATCTTTCCTGGAATAATTTTCATTACTGAGCTTAATCGAAGTTGCTTTTCCTCGTTTCCAGAATACCAAACTAAGAATTTCTCATCCTGAAATCAAGAAAATAAAGTTTGATTTCACCGTTAAGTATAAAGAAAGTAGCTAACTCGTTTTACTTTAGCAGCAGATAAAAACCTTAAAAAAGGGAACTCATTTTTTTAAATAAGGTGGGTCCTAGGTGACAAAGAGGCAGGTTTATCGATCACTACTAAAATACACCGAACCAAAATTTTTAGCAACACAAGGTCTAGAAAACAGAGAAATCAGACAAGTTCATTAACCATGGAGAGTGGTTTGTTTAGTGCCATTAAAAATATAACATGGCGCAAGAAACTATGATGATAGAATAAAATATCAACAACAATTTACTGTATAACTATCACGAGGTTTCAGAAACTTCATGAAATGAACCAGATGATGATTTTGACAGAGTTAAGACACTGTTGCAATCTCACATGATTTTTCAACTGCTTTTGTAGATTCCTGAATGGCAGCTCATCTAGTTTTGAAAAGAAAACAGAAATATGAATTGTGGTGTGAGATCCTATATCGGTTGGAGAGAGGAATGAAACATTTTTATAATGGTGTGAAAACCTCTCTCTAGGAGATGCGTTTTAAAACCATGAGGTTGACGGCTATACATAACGGGCCAAAGCGGACAATATCTGCTAACGGTAGGTTTGGGGTGTTACAGATAGTATTAGAGCAAACACCAGGGAGTGTGTCAGAGAGGACGCTGGTCCCCAAGGGGGTGGATTGTGAGATCTCACATCGGTTGGAGGGAGGAACAAAACGTTCTTTATAAGGGTGTGGAAACCTCTCACTAGAAGACACGTTTTAAAACTGAGGCTGATGGCGATACAAAATGGGCCAACACAAACAAGATCTACTAGCGGTGGGTTTGGGCTGGTACAAATGGTATCAGAGCCATACATCGGGAGGTGTGCCAGCGAGGACTCTAGGTCCCCAAGGGGGTGGATTATGAGATCCCATATCAGTTGGAGAGGGGATCAAAACATTCTTCATAAGGGTGTGGAAACCTCTCCCTAGGAGACGCGTTTTAAAATCGTGAAGCTGACAGCGGTACGTAACAGGCCAAAGCGAACAATATCAGTTAGCGGTGGGTTTGGGCTATTACATGTGTGGTCACACCACTCCTTTCACATTTCACATAAAGCATTCTACATGTTGCATATCGTTATTTGGATATCAAAACCAGTTTCCACATACTCCAACTAATCTATGTTGTATATTCTTACCATGGAAAGCCTGAAAGGACAGAATTTGGGTTTGCCTCTACGCCTAGACTTCAAAAGGTAAGCACCCTTCTTCATAGACAGAATTGCCTGCAAAACAAAACATTACCTTCTGCAAATTTGATATAGTTCCGATACCTTTACAACACTAAAACTTAAGATGGTTTTCTCTACACTTTATCAAAACTCTTCAAAACAAAACTTGGCAAATGGCATGGCTATAGATATAGTAAGAAATTGGCCCTTTACAGCATAGACTAATGTATATCAAATGAGCCCATGAGCTCCTACAACTTCACAACCCAAAGTTCACTCCCATTTCATCACTTGAAAAGAGAAATGAACTGAACCATGTTCAAGTCTTCAAGAATCAATTCAACAAGAGAAAAAACTTCACAAAACAGGTTGAAAATCATATATCAAAGGAGAAATGGAAGAAACCCAATACAACAAAGGAACACATACCTGCTCCACAGCTCTGTCATGGAGGAGCATTGACAAAGATTCTTCACCCATTTAGACCTTTTAACAAACAGTTTCCATGCAAGAACAGAGTATCTCAAGGAGAAAATTCCTCAGCTCACAAACAATAAAGAAAACAAAGTTTTACAGTACAAATGTGTTGAAATGAAACTAAGACAGGAGAAGATATTACTTCTTTTGCTAAGCAAACGCAAAACAAAGCAACAGAATGATAAGAAGAAATGGGGTTCTGTTTTTGTTTGATCAAAGAAGAAATTTAAGAGAATTAAAGAAATGGGTTTGTTTTTCTGTGCCTAAATTTGTGAGGAATGAATGAATCAATGAATGAATGAATCTGTGGAGCCGCCTTGGGAAGTTTGTTCACTTCGTTATTTGTGCAGAGTGGAAGAAGAAGAAGAAGAAGAAGGGGAAGAATGGAAGGCAGCGTTTATTTATTTATTATTACTATATTTATAAAAAAATAGGGAAAAAAGGATTTATTAATATAAATTTAAAATATTAAATAGGGGAAATAAAAATGACTGAAAATCCAACTGCACGTGTACAGCACATTACATGCAATTTTTTTATTTTTTATTTTAGTTACAAATAATAATAATAATAAAACTATTTAAACTCATATATCCACGTGCCATTTGTCCTTTTCTCCTCTATTTTTTTTCAAATTTATTTTTATTGAAAGAAAAAATTATAAATTTTGATAATTATATAATTTAAATTATGAATTTATGCACAAAGTATATCAATTTATATCATTTTATCTATTAAAAAAATTAGTTTATACAAAATTCAAAAAAAAAAACGAACTAAAATACAAAAAAGACCCGACCACCAAGAAAATTGGAAGAGGCGAGTTTGGGTCGATTGAGATTGTATTCTCGAGCTGAGGGTCACGAAAGATGTTCGTTTGGGTCTAATTTTTTAAGGTTCTGTCAAATAAATTGTTAAATTTTTAAAAGGTGTCTAATAATTAAATATTTAAATTTTTAAATTTTTAAAAATGTTAAATATATTTATTAAAAAAAAAGGAAGAATTTAATTAAAATAAAAAAAATGAAAACGGAACAATTAATAACTTTCCTTTGTTGTCTTTTCAAAAAAAAATAATTAAATAAACTTTCCTTTTGTTGTTTCTATATTCCCTCCATAAACTAAATATGGCAACTTTTATTGGATGAGTTGGCCAATTAATTGGAGAATACAATTAATAATTATGCCCATACATAAATTCACACCAAACATTATTTTACTATTTATTTCATTTTTTTTAATTAAAAAATATATTTAAATTTTAGTCAAATTCTCGAGACACTGAAATAAAAGAGGAGTACATGAATAAACCGTGACCACCCTCACGGAAGCTATTTTATGTTGGGTGACCTCCATGAAAGTGAGCAGAAAGCATCATGAATGAACTCGTGTTGATCAGGGGAAGGTCAAGGTCATATGATTCTGAATCTTGGACATTGTGACCCTAGAAATTCCTTAAAATTTCTCTTATTTTACAGATCACGTCCTTCTCCCTTAAATTTTTTTTTTTTATGGTCGTTGCATGTCTGAGGTCTATTACCTTGTCTAGGACACCTCCGTTCAATCAAACACAATCATATCGGTCGAATTCAAATAAATGGGTGTTTTGAAAAAGGCGTGGCCTTTTGAAGATGGCAAAGGGATGGGTTTGTGTTTGGAAGTGTATAATTATAGAACATGTGTTTTGGAACATTATATGTAGAAGTGTTCATGGGAATGTATACATTACAAAGTTTTGTCCAACCATCAATGGACAAACCATGTAACCCATTAAGATTTGCCCAACCCCACACCTTATCTCTTTTGTGTTCCTTTCTTCGACCAAATTCTACGGTTAGGGTTACGCCTTTTCTCTCATCATTATTGCGAGACCTTACGTCGATTGGAGAGAAGAACGAGTGCTAGTGAGAACGTTCACTGGGTCTCAAGAGGGTGGATTATGACATCTCACACCGGTTGGAGAGGTAAACGAAGCATTGTTTTTTAGCAGACGTGTTTTAAAAACCTTGAGGGAAAGCTCAAAGAGGACAACATCCGTTAATGGTGGTGGGCTTGGGCTGTTACAATTATTCTAATGGGCAAGACATTCCCTGCGACATGGTCGCGTTACTTACTATGATATCCCACATTGGTTGGGGAGGAGAACGAAACATCCTTATAACCTTAAAAGCGTGTGAAAGCCTTGAGGGTAAGTCCGAAAGGGAAAACCCAAAGAGAACAATATCTACTAGCTATGGGTTTGGGCCATTACAAATAGTATCAAAGTTAGACACTGGGCGATGTGCCAGCGAGAAAGTTGTTCCTTGAAGAGAGTAGACACAAGACGGTGTGCCAGTAAGGGCCCCGAAAGGGGGTGGATTTGGTGGTGGTCCCACATTGATTAGAGAAAGGAACGAGTGCCAGCGAGGACGCTGTGTCCTGAAAACGAAAGTGCATCTTATTGATATGATACAGTGGTTTCGATTCATTAGATACCCCTCCTTTACTCGTGTCACAAAAAATGGCCATTAATTGATTAAACATTTCTCTCCAATACTACGTCAATTATTTAAATAAATTTTTTAAACACGTAACTTATTATTAAACACGTCTTATTAAAATATTATATTTATTTCCAAAAAAACAATTTTTATTATTAGAAATAATTGAACAATAATTCCCACCAATATCTATTATTTGGTAAAAGGATGGAAATACAATTAAATGCAAAAATCCAAAGGCAAAGAGTGGAATTAAATAACTCAAAATAATTTCGTCCTTTCATATTATTAAAATTATTAAAAGATAAGACTTGGCAGAAAAATAATTTTTATTTTTATTTTGATATTATTTGACCACATAATTACTTTTTTTCAATCATTAAATCAATCAATTTACCAAATTAGTATTTCCTACCACAATAATAATAATAATAATAATAATTAACTTAATCTAATTATTATTAAAAATTTGCAAGTTTTTAATCTTAATTAAAAAATTTAATTATTTGAGATTACATGACTAATAAAAAAAATTTAATTGTGATGTCTCATATTGATTGGTGTGGGACGAGAACAAAACACCATTTATAAGGATGTGGAAACCTTCCCTAGCAGACGCGTTTTAAAACTTTGAGGGAGAGTTCGAAAGGAAAAGCCGAAAAAGAACAATATCTGCTAGCGGTGGATCTGAGCCGTTACAAATAGTATCAGAGCCAGACACCGGACGATGTGCCAGCTTTCTCACTATTCCTCGAAGGGGGTAGACATGAGACGGTGTGCCGGTAAGGACGTTGGCCCCAAAGAATGTGGATTGTGTGTCCCCGAAATGGGTGGATTATAAAAAAATTAATTTTTTTTAAAAAGTCGTTGAAGGTCAAATCACAATTTTTTTTCCCTACAATTATTGGGAAATCTTGTCATTAGTACTTTGGAGGAGCATTATTGTTTTGACCAACTCTTGAAACATTATTTTTTAATAACTCGTCTTTAAATTTCGGGATCATTAAATTCTAATCGGATCTGTTTTTAGGTGTGATTCCGCTATAGTTTCGACGTGAACTTATCTCGAGAGCTTCCTTTCTGGTCTTTGAGCTCCACTTGAAGAATTGCTTGCACAGAGTTATGTACAAGAATGGTGCAGTTGGAATTTACTCTCGACACGGAACAAGGGTTTTGATTTGTTGTTTAAAAACGATGATATATTGTACGGACCACTTTATTTTGTTTCGTTGTGCACGTCGTTCCACATGTTAGGGTATGTGAACGAACATTAATCACATTCATACAATGACTATTAAGATGTGGACAATAGGTATAGTGGTGCTAAGTTGTGTCTTGTTGGAGCATGTGAATGGCTTCTTTTGTAGACAACATGAAATGGTTATATCATATTTCTCAATGTGAGGAACATCTTATGGGAAGTGGGTCACTTCCCATTCAATTCAATTTTTCTTACCTCTAATTCTACCATAACGTCATGTCGTGGCTATACCCGGACATAAGAAAAAGTCGAGAACTCGATTTTATGAAGATGTTCATGAAGATACTGATAAACGAAAACATATAGATTTTAACGACCCATCAGAATTCAGATTTATCACCTGATGGCCTCAACATTCCTCGCTTCTTAAGAGTGAAGACTATCCTTGGACCAACATGAGTTCTTAAAAACCCATGCCCAAGATTTAGATTAGAATTTGGAATCCAGATTTATCACCTGATGACCTCGGCATTCCTTACTTCTTAAGAGTAAAGACTATTCGTAGGCCAACATGAGTTCTTTCAGCATACGCTTAACCATAGAGTTCCTATGATTAAGTCACTGAGAAGAAAGGTGTACACTGTTGACTTTAGAGTCGTTCTTGTTTAGATGTGGTCTCGGTTCATTCATGTATTTCTCTTTTACTCGAGTGTCACACTAAATTATTATAATATAAGAAGATAAGTGGCACATGCATTTGGCATAGAGGTCAGGCATTGATGGGGCACATGGGGTTTGGGAGGAATGCCGCACAAAAGATTAGGCAATTGGCCTACCAGACAAGACAAAGGGTAGCAGACATGTTTGAAAGCTGCCTTGTTTCACCCACAGCTCTATGCATTTGCCTTCTACTTACCTAATCACCTATTTCATTTATGGCATCGCCTCTTTCCGTTTGATTCGATCTCAAAGTCATTTTTCTTATTTTTCGAGCGTTGAAGATGTACGTCTTAGTCAGTTGAGTTAGGTTTAAGTCGATTAAATTTTAGAGTTTAAAAATATTTTGAATTATATAAGTTATCATTTTAGTGTTTTTAATTAAAGAATCGATGGTTGATGTTATTTAATTAACAAAATTTAAATTAATTTGACGTTGTATTTTGACGAGACAGAGTTTGACGAATGTTTCAGTTTAAAAATGTTTAAAAATGTTAGCGTATGGTTTCTTTATTTAATTTCAATGGTGTTATTGAGTGCAAATTGAATGTGAAAAAGTTGCTACTTTAGGTAAAATTATTTTTTTTCGAAAGTAAAAATAATACCAAAATATAAAGTAAAAAAGGAGACATAAACTTCAACGACCAAATTATAAACCTATCTCGATTTCAAAATTTTTATTAATTTTTTATTTGATAAGAAAAATTAGTCTTTCTCGTGATAATTTTAATGATAATCGACAGAACGCAGCTAAATATATACCATGGTTCCTCTTTAACGTACTCTTCCTTTCCATCTCCCTCTTTGCTTCCTTTTTTTAAGATAACCAAAATCGATTTTTGTATCATATATGGATAATCAAAATAGAAGAAAAAATGTGGGTAAAAAGTAAGAAAACGAAGAAAAAATGAAAAAAAAAACATATAAGAGGGGCGATCATTGCTTGTAACAACCAAAACCTACCAGTAGCAAATATTATCTGTTTTGGTCCGTTACGTATTGTCGTCAGCCTCAGTTTTAAAACGTATTTACTAGAGAGAGGTTTCGTCATCATCATAAGAAATGTTTCGTTCCCCCCTCTTCAATCGATGTGGGACCTCACATTGTCAAAAGACACCAAATGTAGAAGCAAGGACTCGAGCGAAGAGCAAGAGAAAACGAGAGGTACAAGGCAAAAAGGAGGGGAAACGAGAGAGAATTCGGTCACGAGTAGATAAAAAAAAGAAACAATAAATGTTTGTAAAAGATAAGATACATTTGAGTCAACATTTTTAGGTTAGACATCAAAATCTGGTCAATTTTGGCTGGTAAGTTCACAAATCAAACTGATAGACACAAGTACTCAACAAAAAATGGCAATGTTAGTGTGGTTGGCCAAATTGGTTGAGTCCAATTAGTTACGCCATTCTGTCAAAGTCACCCCAATCTCAGTTGGTAAGTTAACAAATCAAGCTTGATACATCAAAGTACTCCGACAAAAATAACGTTATTATCGTAGTTGAAGAAAGAAAGATCGTCTAAATAACTCGTAAGTTATTAAATCTTAAACTAGTGGTCACCATGACTTGAACCCATTTATTCGAAACATAACGATTCGTACAAGCTAAGCCTAGGAACGGGGATCCAATAGAAACAGGAGCTACAACACATTCATTGCAGGAAAAGCAAAACATAGTGTTGATATCCAAAACATGAACATATACATACGTTTACTGCTCTTTTTTTCACGAGTGGTTATCCAGATATGCCCTTGTAATAAGTATAGACATGAACTCACCTGGTTACACTATGATCAAAATGCCACTTGGATACCCAGAAGTGCCATCAACTGAGAGATGAACTGAGGATGGCCAGGCCAAGCTGCTCCAGTAACCAGATTTCCGTCTGTGAAGCATCGGTCTATTGGATCGGGTTCCAACCATGTTGCCCCAGACAATTCCACATTCAGTTTGACGGCTGGGTATGCAGTGCATTTCCTTCCCTATATATATAGAACCAAAAAACTATGAACTGTGGGAAATGAACAAACAAACGAAGAAACAATAATGGTGTAAAAATAGTATTAAAATCGTATTATCTCTTTATGTCTCAACAAGTCATACATAGAGTTAATAATATGTAGCTCGTAGACTACCTAGAAAGAATATTTATAATTAAGATGGCAATCCATCGAAAACACCAAACGATCGGTTAAAACAAGGTGATTACCAAAAAGAATTATTGATTCATCATTTTTAAATTCAAACAAGTTTCTGGGGTGTTATTGGTTCGTAACAGACTGTTGTTGTTCCATGATGGGGAGGTATGATTTCATTTCATTGTCATTTACGATCATGTCAAATACCTGAAGAACACCAGCAGCAGATAAGATCTGTTGCCCATGGCAGATAGAAGCAACTGGCTTCCTTGCTGCCATAAACTCCTTCACGATTGCAATAACACGTGCATTCAGGGCCAGATATTCTGGTGCTCTACCACCAGGGATTACAAGGGCATCATAGCTCGATGCGTCTAAGCCTTCAAAATCAGCAGTTAACGTAAAATTATGGCCCGGCTTCTCACTGTAAGTTTGATCACCTTCAAAATCATGGACAGCAGTTGGGCAGCTATCGCCAGCCTTTTTCTTGGGACAAACTGCATCAACATGGCAACCAAGAGCTTGAAGTGATTGAAATGGAACAGCTACCTCATAGTCCTCCATGTAATCCTGAAATTGAAAAATATAGAAAAGTAAGCTTGCTAATATTTTCCATGAGAAACCATGCCTTCAGTATTCTTCAAAAGATGATTAAAAGAAACAGGACAGCCGTTCAAGTTGTTGTAAAAAGAACCAGGAGATGACTTTAAAACAGACAACCCAGAAACTGGCTTTATTCCCTAAGAACTTGCTAATGGAAACAGCATGGAGCTGACACATAAAATTGCTCAATGTTCCAAATTAAATGGATATGATTACACATTGTTGGAAGGATAGAAAAATAGAGAAAAACAAAAACCCATAGCAGGGAGGATGCCATTTCAATCAAAGTACAACATCCTCTGTTATGAAATAAAAATGATAAGAGATTTCCTGCAAGTTCATAAACTACTCAGACTTGGATTCACTTGTGCAAATATGTAGTGAGTCCAATGGTAGCATTTGAGGTACAGGATTGAGAGTTGAAGAGTCCTGGGGAGAGAACTCCAGTCAAGGGTGTACCTGTCCAATGTCTGAAAGTTTATAAACTGGTTTTGAGGAACAAGGTATTCAATAAACCCTCATCAAAAGATGAATGATCGTGACCTTTCAGACCAACAAGTCACAATAAAGAAAGGGATGAGACAACTAAAGTATCAGAAAAAGAAAAATTGATTATAGTAGGAAGAAAGCCAATGATGTTTGGTTTAACACTGACAAGTATTCCATAGCATCTAACTTTCTGATGCCTTTTTTGACACAATCCTCAAACCTTCCATGGGCCACCATTATTAGTCTGAATTAAGGCTTCCAAAGTTACAAGGATGAAGAGAATTATTATTATTTTTTAATTATTTTTTATTTTGATCCAACCATCATAAGAAGGCATGAAAGTTGGTTTGGAGTGCTTGGAGACTCCTCATTCAAACCGAAACCTATTCTTTTAATCTATCACTTCCCTCAATAATGATGCCACATGTGATTTCTAAAGCTCCTATTTCACGGAGGGAAGCTTAAGGAAATTCAGAGAGGAACCACTTAGCCGAGTGAGAGATAGGAAGTTAAAAGTTTGTAGTTGTGAACTTGGGTAGGTTGGCCAAATGGCAGTGGACATGTAGAAAAAAGTAAAGGAACCTTCGGGGAATGGATTTAAACCCCATAATAGCCAATTGACCTATGATATTAAAATTCTGAGTTTCATAACAACAAAACATTGTACAGTCAAACAATTGTCTAGTGACTTGTGAGATAAAATTAGTCATGAACATAAGTTGACCAAATACTCGCAAGTATTGAAAAAACAAAAAACGAAGGATTGTTTGAAGCGTGAGAATTCTTCAACAGTTGTGATACACAATGCTAGGTATCAGAATGCACTTCGGAATTATTTTGTGTCTAGTGTCATCAGATTGCAAATAAGTAGAGCATTGCATTACAATAAATAACTGCATAGAACACTATATGGAAGTTTATTGTCAAATTTAAGCTTACCCCACAAAGGAATAGAATTCTTTTATCTGATCCAGTGATATTTCCTCCAAGTGCCTTGACAAAAAGTTGAATGAACTCAGGATGCCCCTCATACGTGGCAGCAGTGATGATGTTACCATCCACAACACATGCTGCCATACTTTCTGGCTCAATCCAAGAAGCACCAGCAGCAGTTAGTACAGGTCCCACAGCAGGGTATGCTGTACACTTCCGACCTCTAACCAACCCTGCAGCTGCCAAAATCAACTGTCCATGGCACACAGATGCAATTGGCTTCCTAGAATCCGAAAACTTTCTTACCAAACTCTGCACGGAGCTATTTATAGCAAGATATTCGGGCGCTCGTCCTCCCGGAAGCACCAACCCATCATATTTGTCAATATCGATTTCATCAAAAGTTGCATTCAATGTGAAATTGTGCCCACGAGATTCTGAATAAGTCTGTAACAAACACACAAGAAAATTCAAAGGACACTATTGGTACCTATTCTTTGACTTAAGCAATGATCTAATCCATGAACTTTAGTTTGTATCACTCGAGTCTCTAAACTTTCAAAATTGTAGCAATTTCAAGTTGATAACAATTTAGTCCTTGGGACTTTCAAATTTGTAAAAATTTAGCCTCAACTATCAAAAACCTCATCAAAATAAAGAGTCAAATTCTATTACATAACAATTCAGCATTCGTAGTTTACAAACAAATTCAATTCGTAATCAGTTTGTAGACTACATAGGTTATAAATTTCATTAATCTTAACAACATTTTTCATGATAAAACTAACCTATTACAAATTTGAAAGTACATAGACCAAATTATTAACTAATTTTGCAAAACTGAAAGTATGGGACCATATGCGTTTTTTACCAAATTCAAAATTAATCAAACAAAACATGAATTGGATATTGTAGGGTAGTGCAAGACATAGTAGGATACAGGAAAATGTTCAAAATACTAAGTTGAGTCATGAAAGGGAACAAGGAGAATAAGATACCTGATGACCTAACAAGTCATGAATAGCGGTCCGACAGATATCACCAGCCTTCTTCTCCGGACAAACAGCATCCACAGAAACTCCATATGCGATTAGCGCTTGAAATGGGACCATCGCCTGCAATCGAAATCAAGCGAAAGCATCTAAGTTCGTCTAGAAGTTCCATATGGATTCATTTTAAACAGTACGATTGAAAATAATGATCAGAGAAGAAGAAGAAGAAAAACAGACATTAGTATCAATCAGAAATTCCAAATCGAGAAAAGAAGAAGGAAGTGACCTCATAGTCTTCCATGAAATCGCCGCAGAGGAGGAGAACAGATTTGGATTTGGATTGAGCCATGTCCTACTCAACTTCAAACTCCGCTTTAGTGTTCTTCCCAAACAAACGGTGGGAAAATGAGATTAGCCTCATCTCGATGATCGGGTTTAGGATTAATATATATCGCTCGTCTGCGCCACCTCTTTTTCCTTTATTTATTTATAAAGAACAACGATCATCAATCACTAGATTATTATTATAATTATCATCATTATTAGCTTAAATTATACTTTATATTTATGAACTTAACGAGCGGAAAAAATCTCCATTATTATTTTAAAATCAATTTTAAAAAGTGACGAATATAAATAATTTTTTTCCCTAAATTAATAATAGAAAAAAACTCTTAAATTTTATATTATATCTATAAAAAAAATGCATATCCTTAATTTATTTAAAAGTTTAATTAATACACTTTAATTTTTTTAAAAAAAATTTAAAAATACCCATAAAAAATTAAACATAAATTTATGATGTCCCGAAGAGAACAAATTAGATGTGGAAACCTTCCACTAGCATGCATTTTAAAGCTTTGAGGAGAAGCTCGAGAGGGTAAACCCAAAGAGGACAATATCTACTAACGGTGGATTTGGGTCGTGGATCGTTACAAATGGTATCAAAGCCAGGTTTCGGACGATGTGCAAGCCCGAAAGGGAAAGCCCAAAGAGGACAATATCAGCTAACGGTGGATCTGAGTCATTACAAATGGTATCAGAGCCAGGTTCCGAACGATGTGCCAACCTTCTCGCTATTCCCCAAAAGGGGTAGACACGAGGTGGTGTGCCAGTAAGGATGCTGGCCCCAAAGTCGGGAAAGTCCAAAGAGGACAATATTGGCTAAGGGTGGATCTGGGTTATTACAAATGGTATCAGAGCCAGGTTCCGGACAATGTACCAACCTTCTCGCTATTCTCCGAAAGGGGTAGACACGAGGTGGTGTGCCAGTAAGGATCCTGGGCCCCGAAGTCGGAAAAGTCCAAAGAGGACAATATCGGCTAAGGGTGGATCTGGGTTATTACAAATGGTATCAGAGCCAGGTTCCGGACAATGTGCCAACTTTCTCGCTATTTCCCGAAGGGGGTAGACACGAGGTGGTGTGCCAGTAAGGATGCTAGGCCCCGAAGTCGGGAAAGTCCAAAGAGGACAATATCGCTAAGGGTGGATCTGGTCATTACAAAGGGTATCAGAGTCAAGTTTCGGACGATGTGTCAGCATTCTTGCTATTCCCCGAAGGGGGTAGACACGAGGTGGAGCATTCTCGCTATTCCCCGAAGGGAGGTAGACACGAGGTGGAGCATTCTCGCTATTCCCCGAAGGGAGGTAGACACGAGGTGGAGCATTCTCGCTATTCCCCGAAGGGAGGTAGACACGAGGTGGTGTGCCAGTAAGGACGTTGGGCCCCGAAGGGGTGGATTGTGATGTCTCACATTCTTTGGGGAGTAGAACAAATCTCGGTGTGGAAACCTTCCCTAGCAAACGCGTTTTAAAGTCTTGATGGGAAGCCCAAAAAGAACAATATCTGCTAACGGTGGATCTGGGTTGTTACATGATCATAACAATCATAATGATCAAATGGGGTGGATCTGGGTTGTTACATGATCATAACAATCATAATGATCAAATGGGAGGTTTTGAAAACATTGAGGCCAAATTAAATTAAACTCAAACCAAAAGAGAATTTAATCTTGATCAAGTTAGAACCACGGAGGAAAAATCGGAATCTCTGCTGCAAACTTCATATCAAATTGTTCATTCCTTGAACTCTACTGATATTCAATTACAAAAAATGGATCAAACATCAAGGAAACTAGAAGATCACATAGGCATTGCGCTTAAGCACTCAGAAACAGTTTATGAACAATCCAAGAAGAAGTTGAAACTGAGAAGAAGTTTGGAGGAAGGGATGGAAATGCTTCAGGATTCCTACAGCAACCTCGGGCGAGAGATGGATGGTTTTTACGAGATGAAGCCATCAAGATCGAAAAGAAGATATCAAAAGTGGTAAATGCCAATGTCTTTGAAGATGAAATACCTGGAGAGCACATCTGATGATATTGGGAATATGGCAGGGCTTTCATTCAAGATGCTCAATCCACAGCTCTCAATGATCTTAATTCTTTGAGCAAAGTTCAATCAGAAGCACTAGAGGAAAGCTGCAACAGTTAGATGAATATAGCCACAAATTGCTTTTATGATGTAATATCAAATACAAATTTTAAAATTCAAAGAAAACACAATCCATCCAGAAGCAGAGCATCTCAGATTACAAACCAAGATTAGATTATGAAATCAGAATTACAATCAATTAATCAATCAATCAGGGAATCCAAATCGGATCCCTAGGGCTAAAAACCGAGCGTTCCAAATGAGCATCCAGCAATCCAATCGCAGCAGAGTTAGAATTAACGCACCTCGGCGTCTTATACTGATTCATCGATCCCCCTTGCGCGATGATCAAATCCATCAACGCATCGAACGTTCCAACCCTAACGAGACGGATCTCCAGCGGCCCGATCGACTTGTCCTTGGCTCTGCACCTTCGATACACGTAATCCAGGTGTTCTTCGACGGCAATGCAGCAATCCTGAAGCACGACGGAGAAATCGAGGGCGGCGGCGGCGGTGGAGTTGAGATTTGGAGAGTGGAGGCGAATCTCCCAGTACAAGACGTAGTGGCCAGGGACGGAGGAGGTATCGGCGAAGCTGGTGTATTCGACGAGAAGAGCGTTGTAGGGCTCGAGAAGCTTCTTGGCTATGGCGATGCTTTTGTGGAGGTCTTGCTCGTTGGTCTTGTCGCTGTCGATGCTGAGAACGACGTTCCTTCTGCAGATGAATCGGAAGTGTGGTGCTCTGTTGTGGAACCCTCTCGCCTGGACTACGTCGCCGATCCGGTAACGGTTCAACCCTGATCACAAATGAATACCAATACCATATTTCCAAATATATATAAAACTTTTATTACGTAATAATTTTCTAAACTTTTTATTTCACTTTTTTTAAATTCATAAATATATTATATAAAAAAAATTAAAATATTACAAACATTTTTTTATTATTATTTTAAAAAATTGAAGTAATTCGACCTTAAAATTTAAAGATTTATTAAATATTTTTATTTAACAATCCAATTATTATGAATAAAGTATTAAAAACTTTTTAAATGGGAGAGGAATAAAAAGTCTTAATTTTATTTTTTTTTATAGCTAAATTAATAAAAATACTCTTAAATTTTATTTATTTATTTTTTTTTTTAAATCGTAACAATAAAATGGTTTTTGTCTATATATTTTAAAATTTAAACTTTTTTTTTTAATAAGAGGTGATTTTAATGTCACTTTTAAAATTTCATGAGTATTTTTTAAGCATATGAGTGACGGAAAATATATGTTTGGAACATTATTAAAAATTTAAAAATAGTTTTAAAATAAAAAAAGTTTTTTTTAAGTTTTATAATTTTGAATATTCATATTAAAAAAAAATGCTAAATTAAACCTAAAGCGATTAAAATGAAAATTTTTAAATATTTATATATAAAGTTTGAGAATATCCAGGAATATTATTCTTACCGGAGAAGGTTGTGACGACGAGTTCATAAAAGCAACCGATCTTGACATGAACCAAGCCGACGAGCTTGCACGGCGGCACTTCCTCGTCCTGACCGTAAGCCTCCGTCCACACCTCACCGTTTTCTCCCAACGGCAACAACTCAAAGTAACACATGTTCGGCAACAACGTAAACGTCACCTCTCCCGGCTTCGACAATGGCTTCAAGTTTATCCCAAAATAGCACTCCGATGAAGCATACATCGTGCACACCAACGGCAGCTTCCCGCCGCTGTAATACTCCAGCGCCGCCACGTACTGCGCCATCGACCCTGTCACCACTGCCTCGATGTACTTCGCTCTTGGCCAAAGTTGGCATAGAATCCCCTTCCATGACTCTCGCCTAGGATTCATAATTTTGTGTTATGAGCTGATGTGAATATAATTTTGAACATATTCAACTCGGAGTCTTACCTGCAAATGTCGTCGATCTGGTCAGCTAGGGTTGGGTTAGGTGACGAGAGTAATGTCGTCATGGCAGAGCGGCAACTGGGGTCGGTAATGATTGGGTTGAGCTGGCCAGAGCGGATGTCGTTGCATAAGAGAAGCCAGTTGCATTCGAGGAAGGAGATGGCACGGAGGAAGGCGGAGGCAAAGACAGCGCCGAGGCGAAGGACGTGGCGGCGGTGGACGAGGGCGGCGAGAAGCTGGCAGTACATGCTTTGGCTGGAGTCATTGCAGAGGATGGTTTGGTCAGGGCTAGTGAAGTCATTGAAAGGGTCGTCCCGGGCTCGACATTTGAAGTGCTTGCTCTTGTAGTAGCTCGTCAGAACCGTGCGAGCTGGTAGGCCACAGGGTGTGGCGGTTTCTTGCTTCACAAAGTACAAAAACATGGCCTTCCCTTTGTCCAAATCAGGGATGTACCTGCATTATTTTACATTTTGCACGTTAACTTGAGCATAACTTAGTGAAGGTTCGATCTCCCGTCTTACAATCAAATGTTAGCTCTGCATATCAATCAAATGTTCGATCTCCCAAATTGGTTGGAGAGGGGAAAGAAGCATTCCTTGTAAGAGTGTGGAAACTGTTAAACGTAGAAGGGTATATCTATACATAGTAGAGGAATCTTCTAGAGCTACTGTCTTCCGATTTCCTGGTTTGTTACCATGGATCAAGGCTCACGCATGTAATCTTCATTGTACACATCTCCTATATATATGTGACCCATAAAAGTCACAGCGTCAAACCTCTCCCTAATAGACATATTTTAAAAACCTTAAGAGGAAACCTGAAAGGGAAAGTCCAAAGAGAACAATATCTAGCGGTGGACTTGGGCTATTATACTTTTGTTCCTCATTGTATGGGGTATCAACAACCGAGACACACACTGATGTTACTTGAAAGGACGTTTTCAATATTTTCCATACGTAATTCTTTACATAGATGTTGGGGCAAACAAACACTAAAATAGAACAACAGTCGTCTCGGCCTGGTCACTATGACCCTCTTTGTGGGGGAGTCGCTTCTTCTCTCGAAGAATCGAAAATGATCGATATTTCATGAAACAAATGAAAGGAAAACGAAAGATGAAATATAAATCATGGATCAACTAAGTCAAGTTCAACCAATAAAAGTATTTTTAAACATAGTCTTGAATAGGAAAAGATGTCGTACTGGTTCATTATAGGCATGATGAGATTATAAAGAAACGTGCGACGGTCGAGATCTTCTTCGGTTGATGGCATCATCTTAGGCTTACCATTAGAAGTCCCCGAGCTGAAAAGAACAAACTCGAAACGTTAGAACGTTAAAATTACGTGAATGAACCAAACAAAGAAAGGAACAAAACCTGCATAACAGCTCAGTTATTTTATGGCCACTAATAAGAGAGGAGTCTTCGCCATTTGCAATTCTCTGAATGTAAGGAAAAATGCGACTAAAAGTGACAACAGGAACACAACGTTTAAATTCTGCAACGATGTCGTTTGAAGAACAACATTTTTCGTTAATTTTAATGTAGTTTTTCAAATATTCTGTGTCGCCATTTTGCTTTAAGATGTCTTTAAGGATGTTTTGTTGAACTTCATCGGCATGTTTTGTCAGTCTCTCAATCTCCTTCAACGCCTCCTCTCCCTTGTACTCTAGCTTCTTTCCATTCATGGCGGTTTTTGATAGTCTGTTTGGTTGCTGAGAAAATGAGGGAAAGTTTTGTGGGAGGGAACAGAAAGTTCAGTGCTTTTGATGTTGTGAGAAACCCCAATTGGGCATTTTATATATAGGGTTTGTTTAGTTTGAAATCTTAGACGATGAAGAATCCGACCCCACTTACTCGTTTTCATTTCCTTGTCTCGACCTTCTGCAAAAAGTCAGAGGCAACAGACTCAAATCCTGAACCTGGGTCGTTACAAGTAATACAAGACTTTTTGACATACAAACCTCCTACCCGGTTTCAAAACCCAATTACCATTCCACTTTCAAATCTTTCCAACCAAACCAGCTCTAAGATTCTTTTTTAGTTCAATAACTGCAAAATGAGAGATTGAATCATGACAGTAATTGGTATGTTATTCACTCAACTAAATTTGGATTACACTAATTGTGAGGTCCCACGTCAGTTGGAGAGGACAACAAAGCATTCCTTATAAGAGTGTGGAAACTTCTCCCTAACAGACACGTTTTAAGATTGTGAGACGGACGACGATACGTAACGAGTCAAAGCGGACAATATTTACTAGTGATGGGTTTGGACTATTACAAATGGTATCGGAGCCAAACACCCGATGGTGTGCCAGTGAGGATGCTGGTCCTCAAAGGGGGTGCATTGTGAGATCCCAACTTGGTTGGAGAGCAGAATGAAACATTTCTTATAAGGGTGTGGAAACCTCTCCCTAATAGATGAGTTTTAAAATCGTGCGGTTGACGTCAATACGTAATAGACCAAAGCGGACAATATCCGCTAGCAACCTCTCCATGTTATAGTTAGCTAGAAGGACATAATTGTACAACAAGGTAAACAAGCTAAGGTGTCATTTTCAAGGAAGAGCATCCCAATGTAGCCTTAAAGTTATATATATATTCGTTAATAGAGAACCATTTTTTAGACATTAATCCAGACATGTCTTGTCCTCTCTTTTATGGAGAGCTGGATTTGATCAAAGTTACCTCTTTTTTCTAATGAAAAAGGGAAGGAATATGAGCTCAACCATCCATTAACATCCCCAAGATGCTTAATGCCCATTATCAGCAGCTAATGGAAGAAAGCTCCTACGTGGAGACCAACAATCGCCATAAATCTTAGCATCTTTTAAGAAACATAGTTTAGCATTTACTAAGATTTTTGTGCTTGTGTGTATGATCTTTCTTGGTTTTGGCTGGCAGCTATGAGATGCATATCTTGGTTGATTGGAAGTTATGTTCTTCCTTTTCTGAGTAAGATGTTATGGTGGTGAATATTTTTTTGAAACTATTCCTTATTCCTTTCAATTATTTCCGCGTATTTGAGTTACGAGTTAGGTTCATCTAATTTGAAGTTACAAAGTTGAGTCGGATTCGATTTCAATCTTATAATCCATGTGAATTAGAGCTATATGTTAACTGAAGCGCATGTTTTTCTTCACTTGATTCAATCTCTACCAGTTACGTCACGTGAATTCAAGTCTAAAAAGGTAAAAATCAACTTATCGAAGATTACCCACTTTGAATTTACGGGCAACAGACTTGATATCTTAGTTGCACGAACTCATCCACGAGGCGTAAACTTATGGTTTCAAAGAATTCATTTTTCAAGAAACTTTGTCACTAAAGTGAGCATAGTTCAATCGTAATTGATATACTATTTTCTTTGAGGTCAGTGATTCACCCATTGCGAAAAATTCTCCACGGCTGCCTCCCGTAAGTGTTTTGATTGGACAAGAGGTAGCTTTAGCTCGGGTTTTTTATGCACCAAGTAGGTTAAATATATTTGGTCTTGTCTTCCAATAGCTTCATGGAAGTCATTTTATCCTTGCTTTGTTAATTTCCAACCGTTCATATGTACTTTAGGACAATAATCCAAGATCTTAACCAAAAATGGTTTGGATTGTCCTACCCTTTTCTCTGAATTTGAGTACACCCATTATCGTTAGTAGTGTGGAATCAGGCTTTCTTTTATGATTCCAACCTCTGAGACAAACTTTCATGGAAATATCCTGCTACTTTTACCCATTAGAAAGCCATTGATATGATGGTCTAGGAACTATTGACAGATATTAGGAGTCTTATGAAATAAGTCCGTATAATTCAAAGATCTGTTTAAACTATTCTATTGTTCGTAGTTTTATTCAAGATAAAGAAACCGTATTCCATGATATTTGTCTTGAAGTTTCTTGGAGGATAGAAAAAGAATACAGGGAACGAAAAACGAACAACAATGTTATCAAATGAAGCATGAATGGTTAGAATTTGCAGTAAACCAATGAAGAACAAACAAGAATATATCTATCAAATGAGGTATAAAAAGCAATGAATGAATAAAAAGATTGTCAAACAAGGTAACGTTTTCAGGGTTTGTTAAATATATTCACTAAGAATTTCTTGCTAGAGATTTTCCTGAGAACAGAGATTCAAAACAAGAAAAGACAAACGAACAAAAACATTATCAAACCAACCATAGATTTTTACTATTCGTTAAACAATCTCAATATGAATACACATACGCTCTTATCTTTAGAACTTTCTTGGCATTTCTTCATGGTTAGGGCTACAACAACGTGGGAGCAATAGCAATAGGTGAGTTTAAATCCTTTGCAAAAGTAATGCAATTCAAGTGTAAGTGGGAAGCACCATAATAGCTTTACAAAGAATTAAAAAAAGGCAAGTATTGCATCAGAAACCATAAAGGAAAAAAAAACCCTTTTTGTGAAGAATAAGAAATGTACCAAACAATAGGTGTTCTAGGCAGCTTTTAGGGAGACCCTAATGAATGTGTAATTGGGGAGCCATTTGGGTGTGATTTCATTGCTTTGGGAAATACAAAAGAGCATTACCAATTGATACATATGGTGGGACATGCACTTTGTCTTCTCACACTGGATTGCTTTTTAGATTTCTATTCTAAGTATTGACTGTGCTAAATGCTTTCTATCCTCATAAAGCACTTCAATAAAGGCTCAAACAACTTGATTTGGTTAAACGCTCGTCACTAACTTAGCTATGTCGAAGGTGAACTTATAGTAGAGATTTATGGTAGTTAGTAAACCGACATTGATAGATGACTATCTGAGAGGAGGATTGTTGAAGTCCTGCATTGACTAAGTAAGAAGAAGACTATGAGTATATAACTAAGGGACACTGTTTTCATCGATATGAGACCTTATACAGCACGACACAAATTATACCATAATCTTGTCTCGTGTCTTCTGTATCACATAGATTGTAACGATTCTCCCTGAATCAAGCTATCGAGTGAATATGTTTGTAGTCTCTATACACAATTCTCATCAACACATTTAACAAAAAGTACCCTCTTTATTCTAAATTTTAAGTTCTTTTTTATTACCACGACTCATAATTTCATGGACAATTTCCTCTTGCCAAAAAATATTTGTCCTACCTCCAACTCAACATTTCTAGGGGCTTCCTTCCGACCACATACCCCTATAATGTATGTCTTTTGGCTACCTGATCGACTGTCAACTTTACATTTTCTTTTGCGATCTTGTGAAGTACTTTTTTCTTATGGTGTGTCATGCTTAACAATTAAAGTTCTTAACCTCAACCGTTCATCTTTCAAGGCAGAGGACGTTTCAAATGTTCGAAGCAAAGTGATGATTGAATGGTCATTTAGGAGAAATAGTTGGTGGGTCAAGACATACCTTTCTCCAATGAAAAAGTTTGTCCTCATCATCTCATTAACCGTCCCTGACTCATGTTATTTTGTTATTTTGAGATCATATGATCATATGTAGCATTCAAAATTTGCTTGTCAATCTGGTACCTCATGTTGTGCCTCAACACATTTTGAGGGCAAAAGAGGTTTCAGATTTACGAAGGAAAGTGATGAGAACGACACGTTTTTTAGCATAGGTTTGT